GTGCATTTCGAAGTCGGTATATTTTTTTTCTGAAAATTATTTTATTATATCCTGATTACGAATATCACAATGAAATTTAGTGACTGCTTGATTTTTTCACGGCAAAAAGAACCGTGAAAGGAACGTATAACTGTGGTTCAATAATTTAAGACAATCAGGAGTGAGCGGTTTTCAGAAGTATATTCAACCAAACCACCAACCGTTAAAGACTAAATTAATGTATATTATATATAACACTAGGGGGCTGTGCCCCCTGGCCGCTTCGCGGGCCGCTTTGCGGCCCAACCCCCCAATGCACTTCGCGCCTATTTCGTGTGAATGCGCTTCCAAAGTGACATGGTGGGTGGACCGTGGACTATGGAATGCAGAGGGTAGCGTTAGGCGTGACAACGTTACGCTATGATTTTATACTATACAGAATGATATCATACTCTATGGTATAAAATCATACGGTAACGGTGTCACGCGTAACGCTGTCACTGGTGTATTGTATTCTATCATACTCTATCATACTCTCTATAGTATAAAATCATAACGTAACGGTGTCACGGGTAACGCTGTCACGGTTAGGTTAGGTTAGGTTAGTAAGTATGAAAGTGTTACACGTGACACCGTTACTTTATGATTTTATAATATAAGAGTTCAATATAACCGTGACAGATGTTTGTTTTTATTTTTTTTTTTACGAGGGGAAATCTTCATAGACCCCCCCACTCCCCGGGGAGTGTCAGATTCTTACTGACTAAAACCCCCTCGGTGGTGCCCTTCTCGCCGAGTTCTCAGCAGCCGTGGCCGTGCATGGCACTACGCACCCCGGCCACCCCCGTTTGCGGTGTAGCGCTGCGTCTCGCTCGATGCCGGAATACATTACACTCCCTGTGCAATCAGATTGCACTGAGCCGACCACGTCACCATGCCGCAGTCGGCCCACCCCCGGCTGCGTGCAATGGCACTCTGAGCCCCCGCTCGGAGCACCTGCAGCCTTGGCAGTCACCATTAATTGGCGATGTAGCCTGCCAAGTAGCCCCCCTTGATGACATGCCTGCATGCGAGGCACCTACTCCGTCATCTCTTCCAACTCCTCTTCGTTACCGCGACTCTGTCGGTCCTTCTCCACTAACGCCGGCGCCAATTTTCTACGCCTGGGCGTGGATGCACACCCGCTAGCACCCAGCCTGTGTTCCGCCGGCCTGCCGAGGTCGCGGCATAGCGGGCATGTTGTTGCCTTCTCGCGGCAGTACGCAGATTTTAACAGACTATAGAAACAGATCGGCACTTAGGTGGGAAATGGTGGAGGAGGTCGCGGTTTTACCGTATGTTCGAGCCCACCGGGAGGCGGTGCCGAGGGGGCGTTACAAGGTCAGCTGGAGGTCAGCGCATTTTGCCCGGGAGCCTCCCCTAGATCTTGACGCAGCCCCTAGGGCCAAAACCCTTTGGTTGAGAGCATCCAGTCTCCACACATGGGGCTAGGGAAGGAACGCTGCAAACACTTGGAGAGCGGCCCTAAAGGGTAGAGCAAAAGGATGCAGCAACAAGCAAGACGGCGGAGGCACGGCGCGCTTTTCAAACGGCAAGAGGAGGGGAAGAAGCAAGAGGACAGCGAGAGGGAGAAGAGGAAGAGCAGGAGTAGAAGAAGCGGCGAAACAAAATAGACACGACCGATCAAACGACTCAAACCCGCAAGGGAGGAAACCGGTGTCAGCCTGGTCATAGCACCATTAGGGGGCACAAAACGGGGACCGACGGAGCGGGGG